TGTGCGATTTTTAGTTCATGCCATAGACTTTTGTAAAATTTGTACAAAATTTTCAGATTTGACGGATACCCATTTCTGTTCGTATAGCTACGTAAAAAATCAATCAAATCAAAATTACCGATTTCAAAAATAGAGATTTCATGCTTTAAAATGCTTTTTTAAAAATTTCGTTATGATTATTTTTTACGAAGTTACACTCTTCTGAATTTTTACCTATTTTTGGGGGTGGACTAAGTGATCCTTTAATTTTTTTGCGTAGTATATATTATTTGTAAATTTTTCAGTCGTACATACCCCCCTCTCCCGTTATGAGTAGCCATATATCCCACCCCTATGGGATAAACGACAAAAATGCAAGGGTTTCAAAAAATGCATTTCATAATACGAAAAATAAATATTTTGAATTTCTAATATAATTATTTTTTTCATAGTAGTAGACAGTACAAAGTTTTTACTAATATAGTTCGTTTACTTTAAACATAGTAAATAATACTTAATAAATTATAAGTTTTTGATAGGTGCGGCGTATATACCGGAGTTACCCTAACAAATTTTAAGATACCGAATAGCACTCGCCCTTTGTCACGTTTTACTGCATATTTGTGAGTCGAAATTCCTTCTATTTTGTGAAAAGTAATCTAATAATCTTGGTTCTCCACAACTTGTCAACTCGCGTAAAGGAAAACGGCAATGTCTGCGCTTGTCTTAGCGCCGAGACACTACCGTGTCTCCTAATCTTTGAGTCACCGCATAGAGACACTCTGTGCCGCGTAGTTATTGTCTGTTCACAGTAATATAGTCAAGTAACAATTTCTTATTGCGTCTTTATCATTCGATTCTCTTGAGAGCTCAAATATCAAAATCTTGTACGGTTGCTTAATCGACGCATGCATAATTGATTCTATTTATTCCCGTTGCGAATGCCGAACCTTAAAGATCTAGGCCCTATAAATTATGTTTCACCAAGATAATTCGACTTTTGCAAAATATACTTGTTATTTTCTTTTCTTTATTAATTCATGTGCTGTTTTTTTTTTTATAGCCTATCTTTTTCATTCTCTGAAATTCTTTCGCTGATAAGTCACTTCCTCTGCCAATTCCGTGGCTGAACAGTCGAATTTAGCGTGTCCGTCGCAATAGATAATTACGCGAAATTATTTCGAGTCAGCCAATGATTAGAGAAAGAGTGGCACGCTCTCTTGTGCCTGGCGCCCAACAATAATTAGGCGGTTACTCAAAGACTATACTCTCGGTAGTTTTGTGTGAGGAAACGCGACGAAGTTGTGCCGTTGCTCGCGAATACGGTCACAACATACATACATAGGGTAACTCCGGCAAATACGCCGCGCTGGGATTTACACCGCAGAAGTAAAAAAAAATAAAAAGAGTAGAGATAATTTTTTTACAACTACTCTGTTACATTAGTAACCTTTATGTTATATTAGTATTATATTATGATTTCAGTTTCTTACTGTTAATATTAATGAAATTATTGTGAAATCCATTTGTCACTGTAATAAGTAGCGCCATCATAAATTATAATCTACATAAAATGATTACTGTAGAGCGTGTACAAGATCTAGTGGTTATTTCGTGTTACATACGTGTAGAAGAATAAGTAAAGCATGTTGTGTAGCAAAATACAAGTGCTTTGCTTTCGTATTTTTTCTTTAATTTGCTGTCTTGTATATTCCACCTGTTTGGGATATACAAGACAACAAGTTTAGGATATACGGCATTTTTAGCGGGATTTATGCCCAAAGCATATTAAGTGCACAGATTGAAATCAGTGCACTAAATACAATAAACGCTTTAAATGAAATATGTACCTCTTGTCATAACACTTGTAATATTGTATATGTAGGAAGATTGTGATTATTATTTATTACTTCATATACATTTATCATTTTTATTCCTTAATAAAACTTTATAAATGCATTTTATAAATTATTGTATCATTTTACGTATTATTTATATGTATTATTTGTAAATTTTCCATGAGCCGTACATACCTCCCCTCCCCCTATGAGTGGGCATATATCCCTATGGGATATATGGCAAAAATGCAAGGGTTTCAAAAAGTTTATTTTTTAATACGAAAAATAAATATTTCGGATTTCTAATATTTTTTTCATAGTATTAAACAGTACAAAGTTTTTACTGATATAGTTCGTTTATTTTAAACATAGTAAATAATACTTAATAAATTAAGTTTTTAATAGGTACTGCGTATATATCGGAGTTACTCTATATATAGATACATATGTTATATAAGAAAAGGAGATATTGTATTCTCAAATTTATATATCTCGAAAACAAAAGATCTTCGAAATAAATCAAAGTGTATTTTAAAACTAAAAGTTGATACTCTTGCGTGACATTAATGAAATTTGAAAAAAGAATACTATCTTGGTGGAAAAATTTTGCTGAAATTATTCCATGTTTTGAAATACTTTTCGGTAAAATTTCAAAAAAATTTCAGTTTAATTTTAGCGATTTTTAGCTGAAATATTCATTTTTAGCAAAATTTCAGTAAAATTTAAAAAAAATTTCAGCAAAAATTTCAGAGAAATTTCAAAGTAATTTCAGTTCAGTTTCAACGATTTTTCAGTATGTTAGCTGAAAAATTCAGTTTCAGTAAAATTTCAATAAATTTTCAGCAATTTCGCTGAAATGTTTCAAAACATGGAATAATTTCAGCGAAATTTTTTCACCAGGGTGATGTATATGTACAAAACGACATGAAATCCCTTAAAATCAACATTTTTTTAACTTTTTATTGCCATTTTCTCAAAATTATGATATGCTAAGCAAATTTTATCAACGGATTCGTATACAAAAGGCAGAAATACGTTCAAAAAGACTATTATTCGTACTTCAAAATGATGTTGGACAGTAATATTTAAAGAAGTAATGGAAATTGGAATATGTGTGATGGTAGGATGTATAATATACCCTGTGCGAATATTTACGTTAAAAAAATCATACGAGTAATGTAGGGTTAATTATGTAAAGAGAAATGTATGTACTTGCGAAACATGTGAGACAATCTGTTCTTCCGCCATTGGGTATGTGTTAATAATTATTTTCTGGCCG